TCAACCCTCTTCCTCCCAGTTTTCTGCTGACGTAGAGTCGGTGAACATCCGCGGATGGGTGGTGCATTTTGTACATTGTTAGGTATTTTCTTGTTTTGACGTCCAGAGCTCGGATTTCTATCATCTTCCAGTCTAGGATTGCAAATCCGTACTGAAGCACGGGAACTGCAAGTGCTCCGATGGCCGAAATCTTATTTTTTGCTGACAGCTCTGTCTTTAATACTGCCCTAACTCTTCGGATGTATTCTTTCTTGACCTTCTCTTTGACTGTTGTATTTTGCACTCCTGAATTCTCTTCCATGCCCAGGTACTTGTAAGTTTCACCAGGATCTAGTTGTCTGATGCTGGTTTCATTGTCGATGGTTACATTTTCACCTTTAAAAAACTTTCCTTTCTTGAAAGTCACTTTGGCGCACTTATCCAGGCCGAATTTCATTCCGATATCGTCACTAAATTCTTTTACTGTTTTAAGCTGTTGTTGAAGCTTTGTTTCATTGCTACTGAAGAGTTTCAAGTCGTCCATGTAAAGAAGGTGTGTCAGTTGTTTGTAACCATCCTCAAGGTCGTATCCGTTCTGTTGTTCGTTCAGCTTCTTCGATAGGGGTATTAGTCCTATGCAAAACAGAAGGGGCGAGAATGCGTCTCCTTGATAGATTCCACGCCTGATTTTGATTTCCGAAGTTACGATTTGGCCCGCGTTTCCGTTCAGTTGGATGACAGTTGCCCAGTGTTTCATCATGTTCTTACACGCGTTGACTAGATTTGGGTGGACTCTCATTATCTCCAGTGCTCGTATGATCCAGCTATGTGGCATGCTGTCGAAGGCTTTTTGGTAGTCTAGCCATGCTACGGATAGATTTTTCTTCCTCCTTTTGCAGTCTTCAATGGCAGTCTTGGATATAAGGAGTTGATCTAAGCATCCATTTGCTCCTTTTCGGCACCCTTTCTGCTCTGTTGGGAGGAGTTCAGCACTTTCTAAATACTTGTAAGTTTTGCCAGCCATTAAAGCGGTGTATATCTTGTACATAATGTTAAGACAAGTGATCGGGCGGAAGTTCTTTGGGTTCGCTGTTTCTTTGTTTTTCGGTATCAGGTACGTGCACCCTTTAGCTAACCAAGGTGGGAACTCTTCTCCCCCTAGTAGTTTTATGTATTCTGTTGTTAGATACTTGTGGATGGGGTGCATTTTTTTGTACCAGAAGCTCTGTATCTTGTCTGGGCCGGGTGCTTTTCAATTCGCAAGATTCTTTAAGACATTCGCTACTTCTGCCTCATTTAGGGGAGTCCATTCCATCTGATGTTCGACGTTTAGATCCTTAATCCAGTCCGCTTCGGTGTTATGCTCTGTGGGAGTTTCGTAAATTCCTTTCCAGAACTCCTCTATTTCTTGTTTCTTAGGGGTTGCACCAGTTTCTGCTCCGTCCCCTTTGATTTTTCTGTAGTAGCTCTTACAGTTAGTTACAAACATCCTGTTTTCCCTATAATTCTTATTATTATTATTATTATTATTATTATTATTATTATTATTGTTGTTGTTGTTATTGTTATTATTGTTATTATTGTTATAATTGTTATTGTTGTTATTGGTATAATTGTTATTGTTATTATTATTATTGTTATTGTTATTATTGTTATTGTTATTATTGTTATTATATTGTAAAACCCATTGGTGTCTATTTCATACGGCGTATGAAGCTACCTATGGTCATTTATCCACCACGAAGCCAATTTTGGCCGCCGTATTGAATTTTGGGGCCTCTCCTTAGACTAGATGACCGTTTCAATGTGGACTTCGAGTTCTACGACCAAAATTACCTATGAATAGACATCCCACTCGAGGTATTGAGCAATTGCGAAATTTATTGACCCCCGGCGGCCATTTTGGGGGGCAACCTGAGCCTCCTTGAAGGGTCTAGCACAATTTCTGACCTCAAATTTGTTATTCCCGACCCAGAAAACCTATCTGCAGATATGTCATAAAGTATATACAGCCATCTACGGCCATTTTCCCGCCAAGGGGCCCATTTTGGCCGCCATCTTGGAATTGAGGCCCCCCCTTAGGCCGGAGGTTTTTTGAATATGAAATTACATATGAACGACTAAAATTACATATGAATCGACACCTCAGTCGACTCTGTGGGAAAATTTATAATTTTTCAACCCCCCAGCGCCCTTTTTTGGCGCCATCTTGAATGGGGGGCGCCGGATTGATTTTTGAACTTGTCACCATCGAAAATCTGATTCTACGTATCCGGACGAAGAGATTGATGTTTAAAACACACTCTTTTCACAATACTGCAGACAAATGTACACGAGCAACTGTACTATTAACCCGGTTATGACCCCCCTCACCTACCCCTCCGCCTCAACCCCCTCCCCACCCCTCCACCCCAAACCCTTATTAGCCATATAAGAGCCACCAAACCAATTCTGAAAGCAAGAATTTTTTTTTTTTTTTTTTTTTTTTTATAGGCTGGGAAAATCTTTTGAGGACTTCATCTTAGGCAGCTAGGAACCCAAGATGGGTGTGTGGGATTTCCACCCACTAAAAACCCCTCCGCTTTGGCTGAGCGAATTGAAAAAAAAAAGCACTGAATGAATGTTGTCTGGAATCCCTGGTAAAAATTGACAGTAGGATCTGTGTTCCAAAATATTGTAGACCTTCAGACGGCTGTAAGTTTTCCTATAGCTTCTGTAGCCAACTATGCAATTTCTTGTAGCCTTTTATAGCCCGTGGCAAAAACGCTACAGCCAGGCGATATACTATATAGCCCGGTGACAGGAACCATAGCCTGGCTGTATGATTGTTTATCGCTTCATGTAGCCCGGCTGTATAATTTTTTATTGCTTCGTGTAGCCGGGCTGTGTGATTTTCTTCACTCTCTATAGCCAGTTATAAAATTTTCTATCGCCTTCTATATTCGGCTTTAAAAATTCCTGTGGTTTTTTGAATAATGCAGCTCCTATTGATAATTTTTACCAGGGATAGCTTTTTCTCTGTAACATTTTCCATAAATCCGCTCCAACTCGGTAAATTCGGTTTTTTAATCAAAAGTCCATATATCCACAACAAATCCAGCGTTAGGATTTCATAACAATCAGGAAATTTATTAATAGTCTGCAAATCAAGAATTCTGATGTCTTTCATTCCATCGTGGCGATCCTTTTCAAAAATTTCAACGGGTGTTACTCCAAAGGCCCGAGCTATTTTGCCGGCGGTTTTGAGATAAATTACGAAGTATTACTTGATCAGGGTGGACTGATGATTGTGGTGTGATACGCATTACGCCGCCCATAGCATGGAAGGTGTTCATTTCATCAAGTATCTGACTATTGAAATCCGCATTATCGAATATAAACTGAAAGAAAGCGTCAAAATTGATTTTTAAGGGTCCATGCAGAATAGCAGCGATTTCAAAATTCAAAATGTCATGGTACAGTGCACGTAGGCGAGAAAATTCAATACAGTAATCAATTTTTTCGATCCGAATTTTTTGCACACATACGCTGTAACTCCGATTTGGATGGGTGAATTATATGACCGAGGTCTGACTGCTGAAATTGCAGAGTGAGAAATCGCGTTGACTTTTTTTGGAACTTCGATTTACTCTTTACTTTTTTGTTATTTAGAATAACAGTATCAAGTAGGAGCTTCAGAGACTCTAAAATGTCTGATTCTGCGTTCTTAAAAAAATAACCAAACCAATCAGTGATATCTTTTCACGGTTTTGGTGATAAGATTCTCAATAAAGCTTGGTGAAATCAGGCTTTAAGTAATAAAAACGCTGAAAGGCTACGTATCGTGGAAACTGCTGCAAAAATAAATCTCGAGGATATCGGAACGAAGGTTTACGACACAGACAACTATCCTGCATCTGATGATTTTTTTAAGAACGCAGAATCAGACATTCCAGACTCTCTGAAGCTCCTACTTCATACTATTATTCTAAATAACAAAAAAGTTAAGAGCAAACCGAAGTTCCAAAAAAAAGTCAACGCGATTTCTCACTCTGTAATTTCAGCAGTCAGTATAATACCGAATTTACCGGGTTGGAGCGGATTTACGGAAAATGTTACTGAGAAACAGCTATTCAAGACACATTCATTCAGTGCGTTTTTTTTCAATTCGCTCACCCAAAGCGGAGGGTTTTTTAGTGGGTGGAAATCCCAAACACCCATCTTGAGTTCCTAGCTGCCTAAGATGAAGTCTTTAAAAGATTTTCCCAGCCTACTAAAAGAAAAAAAAAAAAAATTCTTGCTTTCAGAATTGGTTTGGTGGCTCTTGTATGGCTAATAAGGGTTTGGGGTGGAGGGGCGGNGTTGAGGGGGGAGGGGTAGGTGAGGGGGGTCATAACCGGGTTAAGGGGGATGATGGGAGTTGGAAAACCAAGTGGTCCATGGGGGTTTTGCATACATTTTCGATACCTGTATCCTGTAATTAGTGTGATTTAATTGAAAAAAGTGCAGATTGAATGAGGGGCGCGGGGAGAGGGGCGGGGCCGCGGGGGTGGTTGATTTTTTCATGGCGGAGGGTCACTGGTACCAGGGGGGACATATGCAAACCATTTTCGGAATTTTTGTTTCCCTTCGAACGGCGTTACAGCGTTTTTACGCAGCAAATTTGACGAAAAACTCATCAACCCATAAAACCACCCCTAACGCGATCGCCCATAACTTTAACCCTAATTGTTCGATTTCAAAAATCTAAAAGCCGTTTAATAGGAAATTTTACGTACTTTTAAAATGAAGATAACTCATTCAATCGAAAGCCCCAAAATAAGTGAGATTTTGGGGGGAAAACGTGATTTTCCGCCATTTTTTCAAGATGGCGGTCATTTCCGGGCAAAATTTTTGTTGGTAAACATCGGATTCAGCGACCAAAATAATATGAGCGTCCGTTTTACTTTTTTCTCCTCAGATTTTCGCAAAGTAGACCCCTTTTTTGGGCCAGATTGACTGAACTAATAGTAATAAAAGAGGAATACAAATGGACAACTCACCTCTCCTATACTCAACCAGTTGGCTAAATCTTTTGCATTGGCCAATGCAGTTGAAAGACCCACAATTCTCAAAGTACGATTTATATGATGTGAAATAAAATTGGTTCGAGATACAATGACCTCTAAAATAGGGCCTCGATCTTCACCTAGTAAATGAATTTCATCAATCACAATAAGAGCTACTTCTCTGACATAGTTTCGAGTCTGCCAACTACGAGACACTCCGTCCCATTTTTCTGGAGTACTAACTATTACAGAAGCAGAAGAAATAGCTCTTGCATCTGGTGTTACATCGCCTGGAATCATAAAATTGAAAATACATGTAATGCAGGTAGTATTATGGTAAAGTGTTCCCCCCCCCCTTTTTTTTTTGAATACTATGAATAATAGTATAAAGCACATAATTCGATCATCCTCGCTTCTGCTTCCACTAATGATCCCCGATCCAATCTTCTCCAAATGACTGAATTTCCTCGGTATTCTTAATAAAAAATATCACTGGTATATAAAGATTTGTACTTTCTCGCTCCCCTAGGGTAGAGAGGAAGTACTGTCATCCTCCAAGAAAAAAAAAAGAAAAAAAAGGTTGAAACATCATTTCTGGACGTTGTAAGGTCCCAACAGTCAAAATAACCATACTTGACAAAATGTGTGTCCGTCCGCCCGACGTCCCCCAAATCTGTATACAGCGATATCTCAGAATCTATCTGTTCGATTTGATTCAAAATATGCATAGAACACCATATCTAAGGTCTCCTTATGCACGTCAAACGATTTTGGGATACGTTAAAATTTGGGGGGGGGGGCTAGGCTAAATTGTCCATTTTTAACAAAATCACACAGAAAGCTTGTTTAGTGTGGGTAATATCTGAATAAGTGAACACTCGGTTAAAACGATATTCATATTCATTATAAAATAAAAAGGGAATGAACACGACACTGTAACACTGGTATCACGACATGATGATCGGCTGACGCCACGACGATCGTGGTCACCTGATCCTCTGAGGGCAGTGTTGCCAATCTGTGCTGGGTAACCAACCCAGGCTATCCAACACCTCCCCGTTTTCAATTTCCATTTTTTTTTCCTTACACTTTACTCCCTTTTGCAAACACAAACGAAGAAATTGAGGGATTAGAGTCCAAGTCAGAAATATTCCAGAGGTGTATGATTTTCATCAGTGAAATTTAAAATTATACATGAAGAATAGTTTTTTAAAATATTTAACAGTTACAATTGAGGAATTAGAACTTGTACACTGACAGAAAACTGACACAGTATTTATTCGACTAATTTGCATTTATGAAACCAATCAATTTATGACATTTGAACTCAGAATTTGGTTGAAGTTATACTGCTTATGAGTTCACATAGATTTGAACGATTTGCAGTTTTGAAATCGACAAATATTACTGAAATTAACTGTATTTAGTCATAGGCTGTAGTTAACGCGTGTTAGCCAGGACATTAAACAACTTTCCAATTGATTTGCAATTCCGAAATCAAGAGAGATATGAGAGATTTGAAGCATTTTTGTTCAGAATCCCATTGAAGTACGTAAATCGCAGTTATGTAGAGAAATTGAAATTATACAACTTTTCAAATGATTTGCAATTCCGAAATCAAGAGACATACATATGAGAGATTTGAAGAATTTTTGTTCAGACTACCATTGAAATTATTAAATAGTCCAGGCAAATAAGCCATGAAAGGGGCTATAGCCTGCAAAAATCCCGGGTAGCAATGTTTTCATCGATTCCTACGTAGTTTTTGACGCTGAATCCGAATTTCAACTTTGCGCCATTTTATTCGGACCGGAAAGTTGCCAAATTTGGCAAAAATGGCCTAAAATCGGCATTTTTTGCGGATTATGGCCTGTAACTCGCCAAAAATTGATCTGACGACAAAATTAGTTATTTTCAGAAATAAAGCTCGTTTAATTTCCTATAAAAAAGTTTCTATACATTTTTGCCTAGGGGCAAAATTAAGCGCGCTGGCGGGCGCCGAACTTTGAAAAATGAGCGAACATTGCGGGGTTTTTTGGCGGTTTTTGCTGTATGTCTCCTTTTTTACCCGTCTGCAGAGTAATTTCTGGACAAATTAAGTGAAGATAATAAAATTCACACTGAGTTCCATGAATCGATGTGAAAAATAAGCAGCCCAACACATTGCAGTGTTGCCAAAATTACCTAAAATTGTTCGTTGGCGGTTTTGGACCATTAATTGCCTTATTATCCGTCTATTTGTTTAGTCTCCATTTTGTAAAGCGGGGATAATGAATCGAAATCGGCGAAAAGGAGGATGAAATAATTCTTTGTCACAATTTTTTTCATCAGAATGAGGTGGAAACACTTCAGAGGGTCGTGCGTCCACTAAAGTGCTCTATCGTGACACTTGTAGTGAAGTTGCGCCAGGACATCGAGCTCCTTGAAAATGGCATAGATCGAACAATGCAAAGTATGAAATTAGTTTGGCAATTAATATAAAATCGATTAACTTCATTTTATATAAAAGTAACGTACATATTAAGGCAGAATATATAAATATAATTATTAGTACTTGCTTCCACGCCACCCAAGAGGTCCAGTACATGGCGCGTTTTATTTTTGCGCGGTGTCGCCACAACCTAAGACCAAGTTTTTCACGAAACTTAAATTCTTAAAAATTACTCATCTCAAAAATGGTAAGTATGTTTTAATTATTATTGCCTCACAAATAAGGACGTGCACGCGTACATTCACAAACATTCAGTCACTCAATCATAAAAAGCGGCCAAGAAAAGGACCTTATTCAAAATCGGCCATTTCCAACACCAGCCAAATCTTCGTAATATTTTCAGGGTTGATAGAGAACTACTTCTCAAGTCCAAAACACTGACGATTTTTGAATTTGGATAATTATGGCGGGAGGGGAAGAGTGTTAAAGTTAAAACTTTAAACGAGCATATCTCGTGAACGGTTTGTCGTAGAGAGATGGTATTGGTCTCAAAATTTAGAGAAAACTAGGGGGCTACGCCCCCTGGCCGCTACGCGGCCCAACCCCCCGAAGGCGCTCCGCGCCATCAATGGGCCGCTTCGCGGCCCTATTTTTACCCTCCTATTAGTATTAGTTTTATTTTTCCCCTAAAAAAATTCGATATGAGGTATACTTAATAGAATGAAATAATTTTTGGTTTTGATGAATAAAGAAAAAAAAAAAAATTTGAAGTCAAAAGGATATGTTTTGGAATGACTGCTTGATGAAATATTACAGTAAAACAACGAACTGTCTGAACCAGGTAATTATTAAATATCTCTGGAGTCGGGAATCGAACCAACACCTTGATCAATGTGGACACTTCCGACGTCGTAGACCACTCGGCCACCGCTCATCTTAGAGTAATTAGCGGAAATCTTGTGTAGATAAGTGTAGAGCTGATGCGCAGGCTACACACCTACTGCGCAACCTCCTCGATCACTGCGCATCCTCCCGCGCATAGCGGTAGCAGTCCCGGAGCACTCTGTAAATTCACTCACTTTTATAACGTGATTTTAAAAAAACCTGGGTTTTTTTTCCAAAATCTGATTAGAGCGGGCTCATCTAGAGCCTATTACCTGTCGATTTACGCAAAAATCATGGAAATCGGCCCGGTAGAACGCACAAACGAACTATGACAAAAAGTATAAATTTACATTGTTTAAATGGGAGAATTCGCAACTTTACCACGTAATATAAAAAAACCTGGGCCATATTTTGAAAATCTGAAAAGAGTTGGCTTATCTAGAGGCAATTGCCCGTCGATAGCCGCAAAAATCATGACAATCGGCCCTGCAGAACGCTGGAACTAAGCGTCACCAGTTTCGCAAAATTAGGAGGTCTTGGAGCTTATAGTATAGATTATCAGATTTTAGCTGGTATTCATGAAATCGGTCCATTTTGAAATTTTCATCCATTGTTGCCACGTTGCCGTAGCTCAAAATTTCAATTTTTTTACATTTTGAGCCGCAGCGTTGAAGGGAACGCACGAAAAATTACAAAACTATTATTTTATGAAAGTAGACCGTCTAAGCTTTAGGAGAAGCTCAAGATCATCCATCCAGCAACTGTACTACAAGTGTCACGATAGAGCACTTTAGTGGACGCACGACCCTCTGAAGTGTTTCCACCTCATTCTGATGAAAAAAATTGTGACAAAGAATTATTTCATCCTCCTTTTCGCCGATTTCGATTCATTATCCCCGCTTTACAAAATGGAGACTAAACAAATAGACGGATAATAAGGCAATTAATGGTCCAAAACCGCCAACGAACAATTTTAGGTAATTTTGGCAACACTGCAATGTGTTGGGCTGCTTATTTTTCACATCGATTCATGGAACTCAGTGTGAATTTTATTATCTTCACTTAATTTGTCCAGAAATTACTCTGCAGACGGGTAAAAAAGGAGACATACAGCAAAAACCGCCAAAAAACCCCGCAATGTTCGCTCATTTTTCAAAGTTCGGCGCCCGCCAGCGCGCTTAATTTTGCCCGTAGGCAAAAAATGTATGAAACCTTTTTATAGGAAATTTAACGAGCTTTATTTCCGAAACAACTAATTTTGTCTTCAGCAGGCCGATTATGAACGATCGAATTCAGACGGAAATTCTGATCGATTTGGGGACGCTATCGATTTAGAAAAGCATTGCGCTTATGGGCCGGTCAAATCGATAGGACACAAATCGATGCAAAAATGCAGAAATACGGCCCTAAATCGATCAGAATCCCGAAATCGATGGAAATCCAAATCGATGGGTCCGGACCCAACGATTTGGATTTCCATCGATTTCGTGAAAAACCGAGTTTTCCATCGATTTGGGTCACGCTTCACGGGATAGTTTTAAAGATGGCGAATCTCGTGCTAGTCATTGAGAACTACGAAGATGTTGTAAATGAAGAGATAGAGGAGCGAATACGAATTGAGGAGAGAAGAATATTGAGGATATTACCGTGATAAAATTTAAAATTCATAATTAAATTGCCGTGATAAAATTTAAAAATTTCTAAAATGGAGCATACAAAATATGTAAAATTGTGAATGAAGTTAAATAAGTTAAGAAATAATTTTAAAACAACATATACTTCCATCTAACGATATTACCGTGATAAAATTTAAAATTCATAATTAAATTGCCGTGATAAAATTTAAAAATTTCTAAAATGGAGCATACAAAATATTTAAAATTGTGAATGAAGTTAAATAAGTTAAGAAATAATTTTAAAACAACATATACTTCCATCTAACGATAAATTGTCTATGAGCCCCATAAGAACAGAGAAGATTTCTCCATGACAGCAGTTTGAACTTTGGCCTGTTCACTATCCAATAAAGAATTTTAAATTCTGATTTCAACTACTTACACTTAAGAATTAATTAATTTGCCACTTATTTTTTCGCAAGACTATGAAGGAAGTTTGCACAAATATTATGGGGGAAAGAAGAACCCCGAAGAGTATAATATGAGAAGGATTTTAGCTTCATTGAGGCTGGCTCTACTGAAACAATGGGCTGTTGAGTAGAAAGCAACACGGAGATTTTTCATGATTTGCTTTTAAGAGGGGAAAAATATGATGGGAAATGTTCTTGATTTCAACCGCCTCAGCTCTAACATGTAAAAATACATACCCAGCAAGACTGCGGTATCTAGGGAAATGAATCTGAGAGAATAAGAACTTTACACAAAGAAACAGGAAAAGGCGCATGAAAATTTGTAACTGAAACACCGACTTAGATATTTTAAATGGGATGAAAGTGCAGGTATACAAAGAAAAATTTGCTTGCAGCATAAAACTGAATGGAAGAGAAAAGATTATTTTGACACCACTATTAAGATTTAAAATATGAGATCTCTTGAAGACAGAATTGTTAAACCTAGCAAACAGTGCTGAAATGAGATGTATCATTTGAAAATTGAGTTCACTGTGCATGGATGGTTATGGAGATGTCCAAGGTTCAAAATAAAAATTGTATGAAACGTATAAAACTACAGCTAGATAGGTACTTACAAAAAATTTTGTTGCTCTTTGCGACATTCTAGTAGATTCAAGTGATGAAAAGGGAGTTGATGAAACTTGGTGGAATTAATGGCTGTTTACAATCAAGTTATAGTCTCCGCAAATCCTTAAAATGTACGATAGAACAAGCGGAAGCCATAATTCTGAGTGACGCAGCTATTTAGAATTGGTGAAGTCCATGGTGACTTGTTGCTCTGGCTAGCAAGTGTTTTAAAACATTTTGAGTTGAACACATAACTGAGAACAACTGATGATAAACTGACCGCTTGCTGCTGTGTGATTGGACTAGTTGAGCTTGTTAAAAGCTGATTATCCTGGACTTTAGTAACTATCAGGACTCTCAGAGCCCCCTCATGATTGCACAGTTATTATTGCTTGATAAATCAATCCATAAAGGGGCAGCATATCAAGATAAATAAACCTCTGGTTAGGCATGCAGTCATGTAGATATTTCTCTATAAGGCTCTCCTATGGGTTCATTGTCAATCATCACTTGGGCCCATCATGGAAACTCTTAGGGACAAAGATGAAAATCAATGACGATTCATTTAATCAGTAAGGAATGGTAAAACTTTCTTCTCAAATAGTTTATGGTCTTTTAATACTACATGTGTTTTTGCACTGTTGGACCAATACGCTAGTACTGGTTAGCTACGCTAACCTAATCGCAACCAATGATCCGATGAATTACAGTTGTGACTGATGTTATGCGCAACCAGAGGATTTTGGAAGTGAATTCCTTAAATGGAGAAGTGATATTATAAAATCTTTGACACATGGTACCTGAGGATGTGAGATATAATTACTAATGAAATCACAGATGATAAATGATTTGGAAGCTACCCGAAGAAGGTTATCATAAGCGGCGATGTCTATGATGATCACTCAGTATCCGGCACGAACTAGTTTTCGAAAATTAGAGCACGCACTTGCGAGGGATTACACTACAAATTACGGATGAAATATTAATGACTAAATGTGAATAAGGACCTCGTGTATCACCATTGAATAGCTTTGATCGGTATTCATGCAGAGAGCGAACCAACATCTCGTAGATCCGTCACACACACCACTTTGCGGTTTGCTAACCATTTCTCCAAAGAATAGAATGTGATCTAAATTGACTGCCTTATAATGGAAGTATTGTAATGATCTAATTAGTTCGATAATATCATCAAAAAGTAAAATAACTGACAAGAAAACACTCATTCACCAAGAGACGAAGAGAGAATACAGTGAATCAGTGATAAGCAGTACATAAACAAACATTTCCGAATCAACCGTTCATCGCGCGCGCTTTCAAATATTTTGAATATTACCGCGAATATTTAATTTGACGGACTACAAATCATCATTTGTTCACTTTTCATTGTAATTCTTTCTTAATTTTCTTGATTCTTTTCTTATTTATTAGATCTGTTGTCCAAAAAACGGCGCTTCCACTTGGAAGCCATTTTTTTTTTTTGGAAATCGATCGGAAATCGATCGGAAATCGATAGGCCTTAAAATCTGTCAGAAACTCCTCAAATCGATCAGAATTCGATCGTTCATAATCGGCTTGCAGATCAATTTTTAGCGAGTTACAGGCCATAATCCGCAAAAAAACGCAATTTTCGCTCATTTTTCAAAGTTTGGCGCCCGCCAGCGCGCTTAATTTTGCCCCTAGGCAAAAATGTATAGAAACTTTTATATAGGAAATTAAACGAGCTTTATTTCTGAAAATAACTAATTTTGTCGTCAGATCAATTTTTGGCGAGTTACAGGCCATAATCCGCAAAAAATGCCGATTTTAGGCCATTTTTGCCAAAGAGCTTGATGCAAAAACGGCTTTTTTCGCCCCCCCTCTGGAAGTTCTTCAGACTTTGTCTATTGATTACTCATACTTGAGCGCTTCTTTTCCCAAATTTTCAGACCCCCAAAAAATTTTGGGGGGGAGCTAGGGGGGGTGGAAGTCAAAACCTGTGAACCTCGATATCTCTTGAACAAAGAAAGATATCGAGATCCGGTTTGGACGAAAAATCGTCTAAAATTGCATACTTTAAGATTCTAAAGGTCGAAATCCCGATATCACATTTTGAAGTCAACATATGTGCTTTTTTCCAGTTTTTAGGTCTAGAAAATTTCTTTTAAACGAAGAATTTACAAAGATCTCAATTTTTTATTTGAACCAAAACCAGTTTTTTAAATTGTTCGTTTTTTTCCGCATCCAACGAGTGGTCCATTAAGCTGGGGAACCGAACGGTTCCGGAGTTATGATCGATTGAAGTTTCCGCTCAACGCGCGCCGACCGATTTTCGCGCGCAAAAAAGTCGGATTTGACTGTTATTAGATCAGATTGAATGTTCAAACTGAGCAAAATGCTTTATTAGGGACTCTTGAGGGTAGCTGAGTTCAGAAATTACAGATACTTCCAAATAATTTACGTTTTTAAAATTACAGCTCCGCAGCGCTATTTTAGAGGCCCACTGAGCGCCGACCGGCCGCTCAGTGGTCCTGTCAGGCGCCAGTACGCGGCGCTTGCGCCGCGCATAAATTGGCCGGAGGCCAATTTTTCTCATTGTCTCACTACGTACTTGCAGACGCATAAAAAAAGGAAAGAAACTGACAAGGCAATATCTTATGGTACTCATCTATTTCAGGTTTCCCTTAAGAGCTCAAGCATGAAATATCTGCTAAAAAATTCACCTCTCCCATTCAGCGGATTAAGCAGGGAGAAATCGTCAGCTTATTATTGTTAATATTAATATTAATTTTCTTGCGGCCCTTATCCAAGCTTCTGCAATTGTAAATTTTTGTAAGTTCCCAGTGCTGCCCTATTTCCCTCCGTTGTTGATAAATTTAATTTTTGTCTCTCCAATTAAAAATGAGTAGGGAGACTGTTTTATCTGTGACTCTTTATAGAGGGCAGCACTTGTTGTCAGTTGTTAGGCTGGTCAAAGATTAGTAAGATGGCTCTCTTCAAGCAAATCGGTCGTTCTCTTTGCTCGCATTTTTCCTTGTTTTCCCAGATATAACAATAACTATTGTACAATGGATCACTATCGGCGTGATGACCTTTTGTTCGGCACTCCATTCTGGTCACGAAACGAAAGTTTCAGCCGACTAGACCAAAGACGCTCTGTCATTTACTCCTCATTCATTATTTGCTAATGTCTGAAAATACGAGGGCTGTCCCAAAAGTAGTGAAACTGATACCATAACTTAAAAACTAAAAGAGCTGGACGCCTCTCCTTAGTTTTATTTGTAAGATCGTTTCAATATCAGATAATTGAAACCAAGCTCAACTCATTCAACAAAATTACAGTTTAAAGTTGGAAAAAAGTTTGACCTCCTATGCTTCATAGCAAAAATGTTTATCCTTTTCTCTTTTACACTAAAGTTTCCATAACCCCTCTTCAATGATTTATTTTCATCCCAAATACCGTCTAACTACAAACAATAGATGGCAAAACTGTCAAATCGTTGTCCAACCTCAGAAGAAACCAGTTACAGTAATAATCGTCGACCAAATGACCGACCGAAGTCTAATTGTGGAAAATTTTCACCAAGAGGAAAAATTTCAGTAAATTTTCATTCATTATGATTCGATTTTTCGACCCAGAAGTGCAAAAATAGCATCATCTCCGCTACATATTTTTGTGTTCAATGTAAATGATCAGCAACTAACAAGTAGACTTTCGATAAGATGAAAGAAGCATTTGGTGATAAAAATATAGGCTGGGTAACTGGTTTCCTTTGGCATTAAAAACTTCAAACCCGTTCAAATGTCAACGGAGAGTCTTTCAAATGCATGGGAATGCATCTGACTTCATGGAATATACATCTAAGAGGAAAAGGACAATGGAAGGTTTTGAGGATTCAGAAAAATTTGAAGCAAAGTATAACTTTTAGAATAAAATTCTAGCAGAGAAAATCTTCAATAAAAATCGTAGGGTGTCAAATTTGTTTTGAACTTTGAACTGCAATAACTTTGTCAATGGTTGACTGAATGCGTTGATCACGGTCTTAATCCAATGGCTCTTAGTTCATCTTTTGATTGAATTTCAAAACAGCCTTCTGGCATTCCCACTTTCCGAGTTACAGTGTCAGTTTCATTACTTTTAGGATCGCCTTTGTACGTTCTTTCCAAACCCAATCATAATAGAGCTTTGTAAGCAGGTAGGAAAAGTACGATATAAAAAGATTAAGAATTAAGAAAGAAAACAAGTCTTTTAAGTATATACCTGTTAATTCAATGACTTGATATCCTAATCTTGCCTCCAAGCGAACTTTCCAATCATCAATTCTCTCCCTTACAAGAGCCTTTAGAGGCGCTATGTAGACCACCTTTGGGTAAACAAAAAAAATTAGTGAGTAAGTACGGACTATTCTGTAGATAAGTACAAAAATGATGAAGATATGTTACAGAACAATAAATGGAACTCATTATAGACAAAAAATCCCTCATCAAAAGCATTGTATTATGAAAAGCAGCCTGACTTTCAACAAGAGAAAAAAAAGAGGACACATCAAAATTCCAGCTTTGAGTCTCCAGACAGAAAATATTCCCGAGTGTCCTATGCAGTATGTTGAAAGCAGTTCAGCTCATTTCCTAACCAACAGAGGGCATACAGTATCTATTTAATTAAATCACTTCATGCTCTGAAAGAGGCGAATAAAAATTGTCGATTGCTCATTCTCCAAACTACACTTCTGTACTGGAAAGTTGCCTATCCCCTAAAACTATGATTTTATGTCCCCGAATATTTGAGCAACATTCCTATTTACAATTTCTGGCTATCTTTCTGTCTTTCTGCTTTATGCTTCTAACTACTCGATTTTGAAATTTATACTCTAAGGCCTCTTTCCCCGCAGACAGTTAAGATCATTCAAAGGTACTTCAGGTTAAAAAGATTGAGAGGCTACCTGATACTAGACTCCCTACTTTCTCACTCCCCTTGCATGGGTACAGAAAGTATCTAGTCGTTTTAAGGTGCCTGGATAGAGAAAATCATACTGAAAAACGAATGTGGGTTATTCTCTACTATTCTAGGGTGCCTGGAAAAGGAAACCATACTGAAAAATGAATGTGGGTAAATCTCTTCCATTGTTAATTTTTGGATAATTTTTTTCAAAATATGAACTCCCGAATTCCCCATGTCAGGTATTATTTTTAGAATCTAGTCGAATGGTAGGACTTAGATAAGCAGACAGTTCAACTTTATTTACAAAATTTAACTTGCCACGCGGCTGGCAGAAAATTTGAACTGAGAAAAAGTCACATCTCTGTCCCACCACTTCTCTGCTACAATTTGTGCACCTAACTGTCAGTATGTTGTCAATTACACAAAAATTTACATTGTACAAGATGCCTACTGAACATAAAAAACCAACTCATCTAAAAACTTAACATTTTTTCATCAGAGGCAGAGTATTTGTTTAAAAATCCTATATTTTAAACAAAATATTTGCTCATCTTTCTTCTGATTCTTCTGAACTTTCAGAAATCCGAAACAGTATTTTTCTCTTTACCTGGCCACTTGTTACTTGAAATATCAGTGGTTTTTGAGTCGGTACAGTAAAATTCGACGGCGTACGGTGCAAAAGAAAGGATTCATGGATGAGACAGAAGTGGGATTAAAGGGACAGAGGTGAGCTTAGCTCTTACATGCGAATAGGTCAGGAGGCTCGATATTTTTTTACTAATGTTTTCATAATTCTGCAGATTTTATACACAATTTACATACAGCTTTGGAGATTGTGTTTCTTTTACACACTCAGCAACCTGATTGTAAGAGTTTTGTGTTTGTCGGGTAGACATAGATGACATAGGTTAAAAGGCAGAGCGTGATTGGTCGGCTAAGTCCAAAGACATAAAGACGGAGCGCTAAGAGAAAAAAATGAAGCTTCTTTTCAACCACCTCTACCGGAGGAATTGGCGGCAAAATCGGGACACGTTTGAAATTCAAATGTAGGGCGAAAACTGAATAAAATTGCGTAATTAAAGTAATCTAGGTTGATTTTTGCCCAAATTCACATACCCACATATATTTTTATAGCTTTAGGTTATTTTTGGTCCGTCATCGACCAATTAATTTCATTTGGGAGTAACGGTCATCTAGGACTGTAACAGCCTGTTTGAACCGGCAAGACCACCATGAGCAGAAGAAAAACTAACTTTATCTGAGATTACTGCCTGTTATTGAGAAAAAGTAAGTGTATTATAAAAAGTTGCAGTCCCAACTTTCTTAATATATTCGTTGTAGGCATTTAAAACGTGTTTAGAAGAAGAAATGTGGCAAAATCAAGAGGACAAGTTCAAATCAAATTTCCGTTTGCCGCCATGAATTCCCGCGCTCATTTACACACTCACACAAGCACCAAGCGCCAAACCAGGCTTCACTTTTTCCCTGTGCTTTTAGATATGAGGACTCCGTCTTCATGTCTTTGGCTGAGTTTTATCCCTCCTTTATCGTGCCTTCGTCAGGTGGAATGGACGACACACTGTCGGATGCTAAAGAGGTACCTTTAGCTTGCCGAGAGATCCACCCGACATAGGCATGACAAAGCAGCGATAAGACATAGCCAACCAATCACGCTCTGCGTTTTAACCTATGTCATCTTTGTCTACCCGACAAACACAAAATTTCAACAATCAGGCTGCTGGTAATTTCCTACTAGCGTTAATTTTTATATCCTTGAGGATTTTCAGACATCTATTTCTCAAAGAATTGCGAGCCAACTGTTTTTTGAAGCAGGATGGCTCTGTGAACTTAAAACATTCACTTAGATACCACCAGAAGTTTCCTATTTATTGACAGAAGCAGAATACGGCAGAAAATCTCACTTCTGTCCCAGTCACCAACCATCTTTTAAAGTTTCATCGGTGGCAGAATTGATAAAAAAGAACTGAAAAATTAAAGGTGATCTTTTTCCATTCCCTTAATCCTCTGCTTTGATTATTACCTCGATTCATCAAACGAATACATATGAGCTTATGAGATACCGAAAATCAAAATGGCGCAAGTGTCACCCGGTTTTTAGCTAAAGCTCCATCCTGAGTTTCTACTTGGCGTTTTTTCCGCCTGAAGTCCTGTTTGATAAGTGTGTGCGTTTACATCAGCCAAAGTTGTGCTAACGACGTACCGTGAACTCAAAATTGTTTAGATTCAATTATAATGTATTACATGTGGTGAATCCTGCACACAGAAAAGTAGTGTCTAATCAGGAACAAAATCACCTCTGCCCGACTTTGGAATCCAGTACGAGAGGTCATTTCTGAACTTATTTGCTTAATACATATTACTCGTGATGTCTATCTGCTTAATGTTTTCATATGGTGTGTCAGGATAGTGTACTAGGAAGAATCTATGCAAGAGCAAATCAGATGTTTCGAAGTTTTCACCTGGAGGCCTTAACAATACCTGACATTCCCGAACATTGGGTGTTGCGAAGGTTTCTGCTTTCAGTAAGTTTGATACCTTCCAGTTTAGAGGGTGCCAGACATTACCAGGATTGCCACAGAATTTAGAAACTGAATTTTCCTGACATTTCCCTGACACATTTTGGTAAAATTCCCTGACAGTTGAAGATATGCCAGATGGTTGAAAAGACATAATATCAAATAGTTTCCAGGCAAAATTTTTTGTTCGAAACGTTTTACTCGTTCTAGAGAGCAAATAAGAGAGGCTGAACTATATTTCCCTGACACTTTCGTCATTTTTCCTGACATTTCCAGGTTTTCCCTGACTTAAAAATTTCCTGACATTCCCGGTTTTCCCGGTATTCTCTGACTGTGGCAACCCTGCATTTCATGTGCCCCTATTCTGGAAATTAATGGAATAATTTTTCATGAGTGTTTTGAATTCTCACCTACGTCCTGCGAATTCACCTCTGCTCCAGTCAAACATTTGGGACAGAGTTCAGTGGGACGGAGGTGAGAAGAAATCTGCTTGCGTTGATTTAAAAATAGAAAAAGATTTTGCACTTTTTTGCTCAAACAATAAAAAAATCTTTCAGGAATCAACATTTCATGTAATATAAAGTAAATAAGTGAAGAAATAACCGGGTTCTTATAAAAATTGGCGGCAGGACAGAGGTGAGCGAGTTTTTTTTTTTTACAATACTTGAGACCCTTTTCTGCCGGAATAATTCAACACATGTAATACATCACAATTCCTTGATGCAAACAAATATGAAAGCACAATACATTGTTATCACAGCTTTGACCATTGAAAATACAGACACTTTATCAAACAGGACCGCATCCAGAATCAACCATAGTTCATTTTGAAAAGTTTTAAATTTTTTAAGAACCACCTGCGATTTCTTTTAATGAAAGTGTCAGGGAAGCTGTCTAGATTGAAAAAATGAAAACCGCGAAATCGTAATTCAGGCCGTTTTTTTGTCGATTTCAGATTTTCGAGGGTAAAATGGTGGCAGAGGCCGATAAGTGACCACCGAAACCGACAACCCTCTGGTCAATTTAAGTTCAAATTTCATGTATGCTAATCCTCGATGTGTAAAAAAGCGTCCTCAGAAATTTTAAACACTCCCTTGAAGAATCGCACCCCCTTATGCGATGTTGCCAAGTTACGTACCGTATAATGATGCGGCTGATGGGGCAATGTAGATTTTCAGTTGCGATTATCTCTTTTATATATATATATATATATATATATATATATATATGTGTGTGTGTGTGTGTGTGTGTGTGTGTGTGTGTGTGTGTGTGTGTGTGTGTGTGTGTAATAAAAAAACCCGACATGATACAAAAGATGACACAATAAAATTTGGAATAAAAGCTGTAAACACATATAAAAAATACCGTACGTTTCGGGGCGAAACAACCAACCCCTTTCTCAGCGGCTAAAACAAAAAAATTAAGCTAAAAACCTAAAAAATCTAAAAAACTACCTCCTCTCCATTTCGCCAATGCCTAACCTATAAATCACAATCAAAACAATAAGTCACCGCGGCCACCGAATGGCATCAATGACCGAACCGAAAAAACATCAACAAACATCTAAGTACAGGGTGCTCCGGAAAAACAAATCAGACACCGATACAGGGTGTCTCAATGGGGCAGAAAACATTGATGGTACATCGTACTCAATTTATCAACATCAGCGCGATAGTTGCACACTGAGTCTCTGTTTTTTATGATATGCACCATTTCTAATATTGACCGAGCAAAGTCATTATCTTCGCGCACTAAGATTCTAACATTATCAAAATCAAACGTATGTTCACGTGTGTTCTGGTGATCGTACTCCGACGCTCGAGGAAAGTCAGTCTTCGCAACACGGTCGTCTTGTGCATGTGCTCAGGGCTCCGGCCTGCACATG